ACATCTGAAAACACATCTTTTTCCCCAGCCCCTGACCAACTAATACTAGCACTTACCTATTCTATTCTGTTCTATTCCATTCTATTATAAAAAAAAAAAAAACTAGCTACGTGAACTGTGCTAGACTAACGAGACTTGCGAGACTTGTCATGGCACTTGTATACTGTTGTTGTTCTCTCGTTGATCTGATTGCTTCTATTGTTCTCATTTGTAAATCCGTTTGGATAAAAGCGTCTGATAAATGATTAAATGTAAATGTAAAATCCCCCCCCTCCCCCAGATAAAATATGTTCCCGCGGCTATGGGTAGGTCTCTGACTAAATACTGATACCTAGTGGTATAGCAATAGCAAAAGTAATAGGTCAGTATTATTAAATTGCAGACAAAGATTTTGGATAACTAGGTTGGCTTGTATGTTTGGTGCGGAATGGGTGCGGTAGGGGGCCCATCCTCATTTTCTTTCATAGGGCCCAAAATTGCTAGCGGCGCCCCTGGTAAGAAGGCAGCTCAAACATTTGCAGTGGCTTCACCACCTGATGGCAGTTTGGAATGCAATGAGCAATCCAGTCATTAAATAGATCAGTGAAAAACTCAGACTCAGATAAATCAGTTGAACCAAGAGATCATACCCAGATGGAGGCTGGATGAGGACCCATGGGAGGAGGGCAGAGAGGGTGGAGGTGTAAGAGGGGAGTGACCAGGCGTCAGTCCAATGGGGCTTGGGGAGGAAGAGTATCCTAGGCTGTTGTAAAAAGATTGGCCAATGGGCGTCAAGCTGCTACCACCACCACGCTTATACAGGTCAGAGCTGGCCAAAAGGGAGTCCCGACGGGTTATGCTGCTGCTAGTGGAACTTGATACTGCAGGAGTACAAGAGTAAAAAAAAAAAAAAAAAGGAAAGATGAGCACAAATGACAAACTGATCTGCTACGACAATCTAATCCATGCATCTCAAACGCTATTCAGTCAATTCCTTCATCTAAAGCAAGGGTATCAATTTTTTAATCTCAGATACTCAATTTCTGGACGTCCCACATCAGCTCGTGTGTACCCTCAAAAGGGCCAACTGAACATGTCAGACCAATTTCATAGCTCATTATCAGGGGCAATTCTAAGGCTTGATCATTATACAGGCACACGTCCCCCATAGAATTTCAAAGATACAAAAAACAGCACCAAAGTATTCAATTCTGGGAGTAGTCTTTATTTCTTAATTAATCATATTACGTAAACAAACATTAAACATGTAATACGTTTCTTATTTATAAAAATTGGCAATGGTGTGATTGATGACAATAAACTATATATTAATACCTTGGAACGCAGTTTTAGAATAATAATTTTTAAACAGACTATTATTGTTTTTTATTAAGATCTTGTAGTTTTGAAAAAAGACTAAAAGATATAACACATTACATTCCTACTTCCATAGAGGTACAACAAATTTGGCACTTCAAGCTGAATGATTAAATGTATTGTTTTTGTTTGTTTTTTCAACTAGATTGTGAAATAGTTGATATTCTGATTCCCAAATGTATTTTGTGATTTAAATAGTTTTATAACGATCATGGTAGTAGTTAGTGCATGTTTATGTAAATGCAACAGTGACAGTCAGATTTGATTTAAAACATGCAAATTTGTCTAAAAAACACCTGTGGTGTACCCGTGGCTACTGAAGATATATTGAGGTTTTAATAGTTTTGACCTTGAGTGACCTATAACCTACAAGGGCAGATGTCTATTTAAATAGCATTCTAATCAAAACAAAACATAAAAAGAGGTTGATTTGACAATTTTTTAAACTTTGTTAACAGTCACCGATGCACACCATGCAAATGGTGCAACAAACCTGAGGAGCCAAAGGCACCGAGTGCAGATCCCAGCCCAACACCTAGAGATCCACCAGTGCTGCTGAAACCCAGAGAGGTGCTAGGAGGAGCCGCGCTTGTATGAGAGAATAGCGAGCTGCTCTGGGAGCTGGGAGCCACTGAACCAGAGCCATAGAAGGAGTTGGAGGGCAGGCCACTAGAGGGTGGAGGTGGCTGCTGCTGAGGTTGAGGCTGCTGGGGCTGTTGGCAGCCCATGGACCGGTACAGACCATTAGCAGGACCAGACATGCTGTTACCAGAGCCTGATGCAGATGCAGCAGCAGCTAGACAGAGGATGGATAGTAGTAAAAGAAGAAGGAAAGAAAGTAATAAAATGAAAAAGTAAATCAGTTTGGTCAATAAAATAAAAATAAACAAATACATTATTAAATACAAAGTCCTGAAAAGGTTTTCTGTTTAAAGAGAAGGCAAAACAAGCATATTCACCAGCTTGTGCAGCTGCTGGGTTGATGAGGAGAGGGGTTTGGACCAGTCGGACAGGTCCACCCCGAGCTCCAGGACCCATAACCAGCGCTCCAGTCGGATCATAGTAAGCAGCTGGTGCTAGAACTTGGTAACCTGATCAAAACACAACAGATAGGGGTCTGAATCGGTGTCTTTACAAGTTAAAAAAAAAATAAAACATTTAAATGTTTTGCTTCAGTGTTCAGGGTTGTAAATAAAGATTATAAGAGTCCAAAATACTATTTCAGTGAAATTGACTATTTCTGAGTGAAAATTATATCTACATCAATTTTTTTTAGTAATTTGATGTAGATATAAATAAAATTAAATTCAGTAAAGACATTAACAAGACATTTAAAGGTGGTGCCCCATTTACAGCCAACTAGAAACAATTTTATTTTTTATATTTCTGTCACAGCTACTGATTGATTTTACCAAAATCTCTCGTCGCACTCACTGATTAAGGATGGAAGTGATGGGGGTGACAAACTTAAGAACTGCCTCTGATATTTCTCTCCTATTATATATTCTCATTCATGTATTGCAATGCCCCATTTTATCAGCTTGCCAAAATGAGCACAAAAGCACTGTGCAAACATGTGTACAGACTAATTTGCAACATACTTTGATGTTGAAAGCATGTGTTCATGCACTTCAGTAAGAAAAAAGATTTACAAATCAATAAACAGACAGCACCACAGAAAACAACCTTACATGATCAGAGAAAGGCAGCGGCATATTAGTTCTTTAGCATGAAAAGCAGCTCAACGCCAAGTCCATAAGAGTCTGCCTTCAATAATTCCAAACTAGTCAGAAATTGCCTGTGAATCGGCAGGACCAAGAACTCTTCTGGGAGATAAGTTGCTGGAACTGTTAATGGCCACATACACACATTTCCTCAGATTCCCACACCACATAAATGAAGTACACAGATGAACGGAAATGAAGCACAGCCTATGATGTAAGGAACAACCAATCCAAGAGTACCTGCACAAGTTAAAACAGGAAGAAAACAAGTTAGAGCATAATTCACCTGTCATGCCTGTGAAGGCCAGCGCTGGGTTTGCGGCGGCTGCAGCAAGGGATTCCTGCTGACTCTGCTGGCTCTGGCCAGGGGTCAAAGGTCGCTGATTGGTCCCTGCACGCATCACCTGGATTGGGCGAGGAAAGAGTTACAATACAAGCTTAAGTAAAACACTAGCCTCTAAAGCTACTTGTTTCTTTAATTCACTATTCATTTTCAGTAATGTCAGAATGTGTTGAAATGCATTTTAATGTGCAGGGGATTAGTGGAGCATTTCAGAAGCCAGACTAGATGGTGAGCAAAAAGAAAAAAGGATGGATTAAAACTAATGAGCACTACACTGTTGGGCAACAAGGAGTGTGTCACTGCAGATCGAACACAAAGTAAAAACGTTGCTCTTTTAAACTATTAATTGAGTGATGAGTAGGCATGGGCCGGTATGAGATTCTGACGGAGTGATAACCTTAGATAAAAATATCACGGTATCACAGTATTGCGATTACAGCTCTAAAATATGTTATTTTTAAATGTCTGGGTAAAAAACAGCGATTACATAAATAAAATATGTTATTTTTAAATGTCTGGGTGAAAAACAACAACTTTTTTTTTTTCCCACTGAACACATTTTATTTTTAAGAAACATATAGAACATTTTGGAACAGTAAACATGTCAGGCTAAATAATTAGAATAAATAATTAAATTATTCTTAATTAAATGCAGTCACTTAATGTTGCTGTATACTAGTTCAGCTTCATCAACAGCATTAGTGTCAATGTTGATTACCAGAGAAAATAACTGACTCGTCTTTCAGTTTTTTCAAGCAACAATCATGGTTACAGTAACACTTACAATGGAACCAGGATAGCCCATTTGAAGGTTTAGGGCCAGATTTACTAAACAGGGCAAATCAGTGTGAGAGCGCAATTCCAAAAAAGCGCTAATGGGAGTGGAAATTTCTGCGGGTGATTTACTGACAATGCGCAAATTAAAGAACACAGACGCAGCCAGATCATTTCCATAATGACCAACACAATCTACCAAGGGCAGCGCAAATTAGCGTCTGCTTTAACCCATGCTTTTTTTTAGCATTAAATAATGGCACAAATACCAGTAATTTGACGAGGGCAAACGTTAGTAAATCACATTGCGTGATTCATTTTAATACTGATTACTGATTGTGGTTTATTTTAAAGGATTCGCTATTTCAGTTGTTTTATGTTACTATATTTTGTACCTGTATGTATGTATGTATGGTTGTACTGCTGCCTATCTTGGCCAGGACACTCTTGAAAAATAGATTTTTAATCTCAGTGAGTTTCTTCCTGGTTAAATAAAGGTAAAACAAAACAAAAAATTCTCCAAAAAATACTCTCCTCCCATAAATTGTGCATCTGAAAGGGAAACTCCTACAAATGCATATTCAGTAAGGTCAGGTGCAAAAATACCTGTGTCCACACCTTTTCAGCGCTAATTCTTCACTGTGCGTCTTTAGTAAATCCTGGCAGTACTATTTTAACGCCAAAAGACGGTTTGCGCTGGCACAAGCTGTTAGTAAATCTGGCCCTTAGAAAGTAAAACTCTAAATTTTGTTTGCATTATAAAATGTATCAGTACAAACTCATTTACAATTTGAACTGTAAAGCTGTTTAAGGGCATTTTCAGACCTGCAGATTGTTTGCTTTGTTCTGAAACAGGGACTTAAACTATCATTGTTGCATTTTCTCCTTGGTTTCATTCACTTTCACAAGGCAATATTACAAAGCATACCAAAATGTGTTTATGCAAGTCATTAGGGGTGTTGAAATTAATCAATGCAACAAAAAACTTTTTCCCACATATTATGGCACGTGTGTGCGCTAGAGACAATCGATGCAGGCTTCATTGCACAGCATATGCACTGTGAGACACGTGTGCATTGCTGGACAGTGTGTGCATCCACCTGCTGTTATTTCAGTGTTTTACTTTAGATGTGCTTTCATTGATGCCGTTTGGAATGCAGAACAAATTAGATGCACAAAACTCACGTAATAACAGACTTTCATGTTTGCTTTGTGTTTGTTTGTCTTGAAGCTAAACATTATTGAACATAAATAATGTTTTGATATTTCAAACATAAAACATTGAAAACTGATGTTTGAAATTATTTAAAAAATGAAAAGGTACCTTAAATGTGAAATTAAAACCGCCAGTAGGTGGCATCAAGTCACTGTTAATAAGCGAGTCATTGCGATTGAACCGAATCATTTAAACGGTTGATTCATTCAGGAACAAAGCTGCGTCCTGTTGCTCAGAGACTCAAAAAAACGTTGTGGCTGTGTTTGAAATTATTTTTGTTGGAGAAATAGAGCAAAAACGGGAAATATGAATTTTAATAGACTGATTCATGCAGTGAAAGAACGCACTCTAAATGCGCACACGCACTCTAACCTACTAGACTTCATCACCTAATGTACGCGTGCACTCTGTAGGTGTTTTGTGTTTGCTTTTCGCAATATACTCATAATATCAAATCGCACATCATTAAAACAACAATTACGATATTATTGCAGACCATCCATATCGCACACCCCTATACTGTTTAGATTTTTATAATGCATTGTCTTCTTATCGATCCACCAGTTCACATTTAAAGCTCTGCGTGTTTGCAGGGTAAAAACATGGGTCGATTTTCGCATTGGTCTGAACATAAAACCAGCAGTTTTATTGAAAATGCTCATTCATTCTCTGCTAGCAGGTGGAGCGTTTGGTAGAAATATAACTGTTTTCCTGGTAACGGCAGAACACAGAGCAGCGCAGCACCGGACTTTGAACATGCAGCGCTTGTGTTTATTCAATGAAATCATAGCCTTTTGAAGTTTAATCGTCACGTTCAGCCATATCGCAATTCTGGTCTTTCCGTACCCAAATTTAAGATCTCTTGAAATCATAATTAAGACTTTCTTGTACAAAGACTTTTTAAGGCCTTAAATTTGATACAACAAAATTTAAGACTTTTTAAGATCCCGCGGAAACCCTGGGTTATGTGTTACAGATGCTTTTGGGTGATGAAGACAGGATAACAACAGTGTGTATTTTAATATTTTAAATAACCTTGTGTGCTTCCACCAACATGCCTTTCTGTATCCATGAGTTTACAAAAAATGACAAGTGGAATTTATTTTCTGCGGTAATCAACATTATGCCAAAAGTTTTGTCGATAGCGTTGGTTCAGTACAAGCTAGCGCTATCTATTTATTTCTTTCAAATCCTCCTAAAAGTAATGTCACACAATGAACAAGGCTTAAGTGCTGGTCACACCACACTTTTCATTCCACTGACTTTCATTCTTTTGCAAACGAATGCAGGAGAGCGTAAATATGCAAAGAAGTTTCACATTAATTTAAAGAACATACATTTAAAACTGCAGCACTGCAGGAAAGTGGAGTAGACCACACGTGTTTACAGTTTGGGATTAGTATTATGTATTATGTGTTGAATTTAAGTTTTTAAAAATATGCTGCAGAATGTGACATCATATCACAACCGCTGCATTGTCCGAAGAAATTTCATATGTTCAAAGTCTAGTGTGCAGATTTTATATGTTGAGATAATGTCATCAACCTGTTGTCCCGGTCCTGGACCCTGATTGGATGCCTGCTGGTTGGCAGAATGACTGGCAGCAGCTGCAGCCTGTTGTTGGAAGAGGTTGGCCGGATACACACCCCACGGGACTCCATAGTACTGAGGAGGGACTACAGCTGGACCTATGGAAAAACATGATGAGCTTTATACTGAGGACTCTCCACATTTAGGATCCCAGGATTGTCTATACCATGGTTGATATTTATAAAGTGTGTACATTAGAGCCCGACCGATATGGGTTTTTTGGGGGTCGATACCAATATTAGGGAGTAAAAAAAAAGGCAGATATCGATATATCGGCCAATATTCTTAGTGTATATTATTATAGTAGAGTACCAGTCAAAAGTTTGGACACTTTCCCATTCGTGTGTCCAAACTTTTGATTGGTACTATATATAGAATACAGTACATACATAAACAGAATATATATACATAAACACATTTTTTGCAATGATCACTCAAATGTGGTGATCAAACACTTATAATGACATGACAAATTTATTTATTATCCAAAATGAGTCTGACATCAGTGCACTGAACAGTAAAGAAATTGAAATTTCAATTCAATTCCATTCAACTTCGGAACATTCATTCACGGATTTGCGCGGAACATTCATTCAACAGACGAAACTTACTAGAGAAGTGTGAAGTGTGACATAATATACCTCTG